ACATTAACTCCGCCCTCCAAAGCCAGCATTTACGTTAGCATGGCTAATAATAGCAGAAGCTTCGTTGTACAACCATATGAGACCCAGAGGCAGAGTCGGTCGCAGCTTTTTTTTCCCCTCCTCTTCCTCCTGTGTCGGAGCTCTGCGCTCACTCTGCATGCTGTTACCAGAGCAGGGAGCAGTAGCCGTCAAAATACCTCAGAAACTCGATCAAATAGGCTAAACCTAAACAATAGAGGTACATGAGAGAACGTGTTCATAATGAACAAAAATAAATAATTAAATTGTTTGTATCTGTATCGGTCTCAAACCCTGGTCTCCCACTCTCTGGTCCAACACTCTACCCATTGCCCTATTGGAGGCTTGTTGTGAAATGAGCTACACATTACACAACAACACAGTGACAGCTTTTTTTAATGAGGAGGAGGAGCCTCACTCGGGGTTGCTAGGTAAAGGGCTGAACGCAGGTTCTGGTGGGTTGTCGTACGGCTTGTGACATCACAAAATGTAGGAAGTATAAAACTTGTCGTTAATATACATTAAAAACACATTTACTTACAGTAAATAATATGCCCCTGGGTGCATTTTTTTGGTCCCAGGACTGTTTTTTAAGAAGTACATACCCAAAGTTGAGTAAAAAAAACTTTAAAAAGTGCATTTTGCATAATAGGTCCCCTTTAAACAGACTTTAAACTCACCTCTCTGTCTGGTTTATGTGGTTTCATCAGCTCCACCACCTGCCCTCTCCTGACCAAGATGACCTGGGAGTCTCCCAGCCAGGCCACATACAGAGTCCGGCCCCGCAGGAACGTCACCACACCTGTTGTCCCGCAGCGCAGGTTCTGCCAAACATATCACAGCATAAAGCAACCCTGAGGTACTGAAACCAAGTCATATTAGAGGAAACTTTCCTAAATTCTATTAGTGTAAGTCCAATCTGTCAATATTTATTGAAAAAAAACCTTGGTTTTAAATGCTATCCAACAATTCATGTAGAGATACAAATGACCTTTTRCAAACTATATTTTATGTAGTGTTTAGAACATACATAACCTAATTTTCAACAATTAATTTTATTATTAGATTATTTCTTAAGTCCTATCTCTGCTGAGCCATGTATCCCTATAACTCTAAGTAGTGATGACTTCATGAGATTCTTTATAGATAAAATAATTTTAATAAGGAATAAAATTCATGCCAAACTTCCTGCTACTGTCTCTGATTCTCTGTCAGATGAGGCAGATTTAGTGTCACTAGAACCTGATATATGGCTGGACAGTTTTTGTCCTGTTGAGCTCTGAATTATCTAAAATAAAAGCTTCATCCAAACCATCAACATGTTTGCTAGATCC